CAGCACCAAGTACTGCACAACATCTCCTAGTATCACTATCAATAGCAGTTCCCCCAACTGCCGCTGAACCAACCACCACTTCCACCTCGGCACCCTGCTCCGAGGCCGGTTAAGGCCTCCCCACAGGATGGACGCCCCCACCAAGGAAAAACCTCCCGGCCCTAGAACCCCCCTAACAGCCAGTCCTCGTCCCCTGGCCAAAGAGAGAGAAAAATCACCCCCGTCTCGCAGCTCGCAGGCGGGTCAGGAACCTCGCCCGCAAGGTCGGCACCTCAGCATTCTAGGCCTGAGTTCCCGCTCACAGAAGTTCCCTACAGACTTCGGTGTGGCCATGAATACAAATCCATTAAGGATGTCAGATATCTAAATCTAATTTGATCTGATTTTTTTTAAATTAATAAATCATTAAAAAACAAACCGTTTAAACTTTAAAAGAATGACAAAAAATAAGTAATTTTTCAATTATTTCATCATATATATACATAGATTTTTTTTTTATAAAAAAAACATGGAGATATCCGAATCTTTTTTTCCTCTTTTTGGTAATAGAGATATCCGAATGTTACAAAATAGGATGGGATTTCGGATCCATTTGCGCACCTACTTACAAATGTTGAAATTAATCAATGCATCTGATTTTTGAGAACCACCATTCTATTTGATCTCACCAAAGACTTTTCCTTTGAATATTGTATTGGTATCACTAATAACACGTACCGGAGTGGTTGAGCCGATGACCTGGTTGAGGCTGCAATTATGGTTTTCACGCACTAAACCGCTATTTTAACCCGGTGAGCTTTCACATTTTTTATCGGTTTCTATCTCTAGTAACAACTAACAATGCTCCATTCGCCTACGAAAAGAATTATTTGCCATAGCTCATAGGGCCCTCAAAAAGTGAACTCATCAAAATGGACCCACCGGTCACCGGAGCTAAAAATCGTTCCCAACCCATGGTCCTATCAGATTTAGCCTGACGGGTAGACCCGGCCCATCAGCTACTACATCAATCAGGGGTGTACGTGAGGTACACGTGGGATTCCACGGATGACCCACAGTTCAGCTTCGTCCAAACCGCCTCTTAGCTCTGGCAAATGGCAATGATGCCCAGCCGGCTCATCAACTCATCCATTGGGTTATCTATCGGCATCGAATGTCGACGCATGTCCTGGTGATTGGCCCATAAAACGGCCCACCCTCCACACACCTATCCACACACAAACCATTCACTATGCGACGCTGATCCGCTGAAACACTGGGCCCCACAGTTCTGGCAGCCCACTCACGATACCTTACCCACCCTGGACGGACGGAGTCCAATCCATCACGTCCATCGGTCCATGCCCAATGCCTGAAAACCACAACCATGTATATGCTAAAAACGAGCACTGCACGTCGTCGTCGAAAGCGATCCCTAACTGCCGGTCGAAGCCTTCCTCCTCCCTGAACCGCCCCAACTCACTAGACTGATGGGACACGTGCCGTACCGACATGGCGACATCTACGTCATACCAGAAAGCACGGGACGCGTGTCAAGCGGTCAAACGCCAGCTACTTTCCCTTGACGAGATTCCACGTTTGGTCCTCCACCAAACTGCCCTTGTTTTTCGATCAAAACTACAACACGCACACCTACTAACTTCTGTAGTCGTAGACCTCTTCAATCTTCATCATCTCCTCAACTCCCCGAACTACCCCTGTTCATTATCGCCACTATCTCCTATCGAGGAAGGGTATTTTAGTCATTTGAAATGGCACGTCCGTTGAAGCCTGAAGGAGCAGTTCTGTAATTTACTCGAAAAGCAGGGCCCTATAGGATAGCTTCGTGGATAATTGTGTGTTCGGCAGTTTCGGATCCACGTCATATGAGCGGTATTCACGAAAGCGGTTTTGGTGGCGCTTTTTTCAATTTTCTATATTATACTTACTTTCTTTTATTTTCTACTTTTCTGTGATGTTAACACAACCGTTGGATTGGAACCCGGCGTGTAATGATCTCAAACTTGTATTATGGTTTTAGCGTAAAACCGTCATTTTCAACTTTTCGGATCCAAATCCGACGGTTTTACGGTAGGGATGATGAGGGTTCCTACGCAGTACGTGGGATTGGCTGTTTTTTTCTGCTACTAGACGCCTAGACCACCTTTACGCGCCTATAAAAGAAACGCTCTTCCTGAGCTCCTGTCACTCACGAGTCGCGAAATATTCTCTGTCTCGGTTCATTTCATTTCATCTCGATCTGTGTTAAGTTAACCATGGGGACCGCGGTTCTCCGCTCTCAAGATTGCCTCAGAAGCCGCTTTCCTCCTCAAACGCTCGGCTCTCCTCCCATCAGACCTCGGCGGAACCCTAACGCTAACTCTAACCCTAACGCTATGCGTTCCGGCAGGCGAAAGCGCACTCCGTCGGGGTTCCAGGAGAAGGAGAGCGGAAGTAATCGATGCCGATCGAGCGTTACGAAGCTTCCGACCAAAAATCTCGTCATGGGGCAAGTTACGATCCTGAAACGCGGAGAGGAGTTGAAATCTGTGACAACCTGTGATGATGAGAAGCAGGCGAAGATCAAGATTGATATCGATTCGGCTTTATGTTCGACAGAGCGGCTTGGTCCAGAGCCCGAGATGGTTCCGAAACAGATCCGTCTCACTGATTCGAAGGTCGTCGAGGGTGTGTTTGCGGGATCTGCGTTTCTCGCATCTCCTCCCCCGAGTTCTCTTCCTTTCCCTGCCTTCTTCACCAAAAAGGGCGTTCCTAACAAAAATGAAGTGGCGACGATCGATCTCCGTCAACTGCTGCGGCTAGATCTGTCCTGAGTTAGGTCTAGGACGATGTTTCTGGTCGGAGTTGGTGTCCTTATGCCGGATCTGTCACTCTGAAACTTTCGTTACTGTTGGTAGCTTCCCATGTCGGTTTTCCTCTATTTTTTCAACAGGAATTCCGAATGATTGGAGCTTAACGAAGCTATCGAATGAAAAGTTGCAGTATACCTTCTGCTTTCATGGCGATCAAGATCGCTTGCACAAATATTAGGTAGATTTTTCATTTTGGCTTCAGCTTCTTAAATAGGAAGGTAGGTTAGAGTTCCATGTATAGCTTATGTAGTCCAGATTTACCGATGTAATTCGCTGATGTTCGATCAAAAAAGAAAATGGGGATGCTGTTTGATTTTAGTGTCATGTGGTTTAGGTTCGTGCAGGTTTATTGTATCGGAGTTGCGTTTGGGGGGTGGGGGGGTTCTTTGTATTTGAGAAGTCTCTTTTTGCCCCGTTCTGTTGTAGCTGCAAAGATAGTGAAATTGAATAAAAGTTTAGTAATTTGTCTCTTGTTTATCCAAAAAGATGCAATTTTGGTTGTCTGCAATCGAGAGATGGAAAGATGTCCTTTCCAATTCTTAGAAGGCTTTCATGCGCGCTTTCAGATTGCTTGCACAAAAAAGATGGAATCGAACTGAAAAACATTTTCGTGAATCTCTTGGGGTTGCCATGTAATGAAATTTTAAATTTGTTCTACAATCTCTTATGGTGACGGACTGAACGCTTGCCCGGTAGCTATTCTCTTTAGTGCCCGTGGCGGACTCTGTTTGGTCTGATAACCAGAAACTGTGATAATTGATGGCGGGATATGATGCGTGTCCTCTAATCAGCTGTAATATGAATGATTTGGTTCTGATTTGTTATTTCTTGATGGAGCACGAGTTGGTTTGGTCTGCCAAACAGTGAAGGTCAGACAACCCAACGTGCTGGTGAGGTTGCTCCGATGCTTATTAGTATTGTCTTCGTTGCAAGTTAAAAACTTGAATTGCTTAGATGCTTAAATTAGTATGGTCTTGGTTGCAAGTTAAAAGTTTGAGTGTAGAAAGGGTTAGTGAGTAAATAATGGCACATACCCTTGGTGCTTTTATATAGGCTTTGTTTCGTGACTATTTTGTATATGAGATTTCTGGGAGGTCGTCTAACTTGTTTGAGATTCTTGGAGGTAATCGTAGCGTATATTAACCATCCTCTAGAACACTTGGTATGTGGGTCAACTTTCGAGAGACTTGGGAGTGTCGGGATATGCATACCAAATTTGTTGGCGAACACAACTCGTAAGTCACCTCTTGGACCTCAGTCAGGTCGGCAAGCCCTTGAGGGAGGTTGCTCCTTGCATCAAGGTCATGTCAGCTAGTGACAAGGTGCTAAAGGTCGGTCATAGATGAGGTGCTCCAAGTCAGCCTGAGTTGCGGTCGAAGTCGCTAAGTTGGAGTGGAGATGAACCGCGATTTGAAACTCTAAATCATCACTTAGGTGGTGTCCATGTGTCATCCAGTTGTTCCAAGATGCCATGTGTCACGATGTGATTAGAGGGTAAAATTTGCCATCATTAATTGCCCCCCACTCCTGAGCTAAGGGCAGCTCGGCGAAGGGAGTAAATCGTTCCTTTTGGCCCGAAATGAATGCTGAAGAGCTCGTAGTCGTAAGCGTCAGTCCAATTTGCTTCTCAGGTCAGAAGAGTTCGAGTATTTGCAACAGTACACAGGACTTGTCATCTTGATTTTTTGGGTACGAGAGCGAATTCATTTGTTCGAGGAGAGGTAGAGCAGGTATATCGAGGGCATTTACCTTATTAGGGATGTGACCATCAAAGGGTTCTGCAATCCGGTTAAGTACCTCAAGAGCGAAATTCATCATGCCATCCTCAAGAAAGGGTTAACTATGTAATTGTTCTATTGGGTCGCTCCACCTAGGTAGACTTCGACCCAGTGTCACTTGAACTAGTTCTTAAAAGAGTAGCCAGTGAGTTCGATGTGGTGCTTGAAATCTAAGTGAAAAAATCGGCCAAGTTTGCATCCGTCATGGTGTTGAGAGCAAACTAGTCTTTCCTTTGCTTTCTTTGTCGTGTTGAATGTGAATTGTTTTTTTATTTCACCCATGCAAAAGAGGTAACTAGGTGTTATGTGGTGCCGAGGTCTTTTATCAGCTCGGCACCCTTGCCCTTAGACTCTGGGAGTGACTCGCAGTCCACTCTCCTTACCCTTGCTTTTGCCCATGCTGAAGAGGCGACTGAGTCTCATGTGGTGCCGAGGTCTTTTATCAGCTTGGCACGTTAGCCCTTAGGCTCTAGGAGCAACTCACGGTCCACTCTCCTTATCTTTGATTTTGCCCACACCGAAGAGGCGACTGGGTCTCATGTCGTGTGGAGGTCTTTTATCAGTTCGGCACCTTAGCCCTTAGGCTCTACGAGCGACTCGCAGTCCACTCTCCTTATCCTTGATTTTGCCCATGCCAAAGAGGCGACTAGGTCTCATTGTGGTGTCGAGGTCTTCTATCAGCTCGATACCTTAGCCCTTAGGCTCTGCGAGTGACTTGCGGTCCGCTCTCCTTAATATTATTTAGCCGACGTGTGGCCTGACTAGTTCGCTTAAGCAGGTGGTCATTCTGTTGTACCCTTAGATGTTGCTACTTCTACATCATCACTTGAGATTGGCTTCCTCGGGAAGGAGCTTGCAAAATCATGGCATACTACTCCTGGAACCATTGATTGTTTGCTACTATTGGAGTCATGGGAGGCTCACCCTGAGGGGGCAGCTCTGCTGTTTGCGGGTTGCCTACTCTCATGGGAACCATAAGGGGCTCGACCTGTGAGGGTGGTTCCACTTTCAGCTTGCTTCCAACTCTCAAGGGGGCCATAAAAGCTCGACTTGTAGTGAGGCTTCGCAATTCGGGCTGGAGGTAGTCTGAGTCAAATCGCTGAGGCTCTTCTAGGCTGGTTATTCGTTTATGTTCTGTTTGCAGGTTTTGTCATTACTTTTGACGTTAGATGATATGTCAATGCCGCGATTGCACTACATTAGCCCTTGGAGATGCTGGTCGTCAACTCCTACGAGAAGCCATAGGGAGCTCGACCTGCGAGAGCAGCTCAACTAGCTGTAGGTTGCCAACTTGCACAGGAGCCTTGAAAGGCTCGACTAGCAAGGGCGTCGGCACAGTTCATAGGCCACTAACTCCCGCGGGATCCACAAAAGGTTCAACCTGTAGGGGAGACCTCGCGAAGAAGGATAATGAGGCTCATCCGGGCTGAAATGAGGTTGGCAGAGGTGCTTAATCGGTTGGCCATCAACTCCTACGGGAACCATGAATGGCTCGACCTGTAAGGGTGGCCTTACTCCGAGGTGGTTGTCGCTAGACTGTTGGTTATTGAGGTCATTCTATTGCCGATTGCTCGAATGCACCGAGCTTCTTAATTGTCATGGAGGAGGGTTCTCATGTTCTTGCCCCCTTAGTAATTGATTCTTTGTTCTCGATGTTGGTGCTTTTAGAAGGTGAGAACTTAGCTTCTTGTAGTGTTTCCCACAGGCAACGCCAAATGATGGAGCACGATCTAGATGCTCCTAGCTGCAGGATGACCTGGAACTTGATTGCCTGGTGAGCTGGTTTGGTTTGCAAAACAGTGAAGCTTAGAGAACATGAGGTGGCTAACCCAATGAGGTTGCTCCAATGCTTAAGTCAGTATTGTGTTATCTTGGTTGCAAGCTAAAAGTTTGAGTGTAGAGAGAGCTAGTGAGCAAATAATCGCACTTACCCTTTCGTGTCATTGGGGTTGGTGTCTTTATATAGACATTCTTTCGCGTGGACTTCACGCACCGCATCTGAGATTTTCGAGAGGTCGCCTAACCAGTCCGAGATCCCTGGTGGTAACCGCCACGCACGTTGACCATCCTCTACAACACTCGGTATGTGGGCCAACTTCTGAGAGACTTGGGAGTGTCGGGATATGCATACCGAATTTGTCGGCGAGCACAACTCGTAGGTCGCCTCCAGGACCTCAGTCAAGTCGACAAGTCCTCGAGGAAGGTCGCTCTTTGCATCGAGGTCACATCGGCCAGTGACGAAGTGCTAAAGGTTGGCCCTAGATGAGGTGCTCCTAACCGGCCTAAGTTGTGGTCGAAGTGAAGATGAATCGCAATTTAGAACTCCAAATCATTACTTAGGTAATGTCCATGTATCTTCCAGTTGTTCCAAAATGGTGTATGTCACGATGTGACTGGAGGGCCAAATTCGCCCTCATAAGTTCTGTTTCGGTTCATATATTAATAATATTTAGAGTTTATCAGAGGAATGTCAAAGCTCGAACGCCGGTGGGGTATAAAACCAAGAATGATAACATCTCGACTCAACATTGTCTCCCATTTTAGCTGAGAATAGAAAGATGAAATGGAAATGGCGTCATCCCATGTGGATTCTGAAGATGATTAGCTTATTGGTGTACTTCTGACAAGACTTCCCCGATTTGGTGCTTTTTTATTCCCTGTGCTTATTTTAGTTTTCCTCTTCGCTCCGTTTTTCTTTGTTTTCCTTTTAACAGAACCATATCAGCTGTATTCTTCTTTACCCTTCCCTTCTTTGCATTTTGTTTCTGCGGCACAGGCGTTCACTAATCCAGGTTGAGCTGCTGTTTAAGATTCATTTTAACTCCAAACCCTTTCGTGTTCATAAATGTAAGGTCTAGAGGGCTAGCTGTATAGTAGTCTGAACTGTATTATTTGGCTTAGGCATCAATTCTTGTCTACCGTGAAAATGTGCCTGGGAGCGTTTGTTCGGAGCATATCTGAACTTCTAACCTTAAAGCATTTTTCTATCAAATCAGAAATTTGCATAAATCATAAATGGTTTTTCTTAGATTCCAACTCCAATTGTGCTGTATCATATATTTTCTCCATTGGGTACAATATTAACATGTCTTTTCTCAGTTTCTGTGAACGTCAGGATCTGTCAGAACGACGACTAAATGACTTATGAATTCTATAGATCGATAGAGAATAACAGCTGATGGTGGAATGGTGTTCTTCCAACGAAATGCCAATCCGTGCTTGTTGCGTCTGGCATGTCATTTGATATGCCAATATACACTCATCCCGGTTTTACTGTTTTCTGTTTCAGGCTTTGTGCTTAGGGGCTTAAAACTGTTTTGGCTTTACAATATTTTGCTTTTAAAATCAACTCATCTTACCAGGCGCGCAAAATACTTCTATTTTTCCACGGTTCAAAGCTCAAAATCAAAACTTATCCAAACGAGGCAGAGCTAATGGTTTTCTATGAACTTTCTTTTCCCAACAATGACAGAAATTTGATTAAAGAGAAGCAAATTCCCCAAACCTTCCCATAAGAATTAACTAGCGGGTACCCCTCGATGTACGGGAAAATCTGAAAAATTTAATAATTTTATTTATTATTAATTAATATTAAATTAATAATCAAAATTTATTGTTAATTAACTAAAAGTATTCAAAGTTATTGTTAATATCTAAAATTTTAATAATTGTATTTTCATTTAATGTTGATTTATAGAA